AAAAAAAAAAACAGGTCATATGACAAATGTAACACATTATCCCTTTCCTATAACATACTGAAATTAAACAGTGTGTGGCATTTTCAGCCATGGAAGGTACTAAATGTTTTTGGTTTGCAAATTATTTTTGTTCATATATCTGTATGAATCTCTATACATATTCATATTTTAAGATTCATTTTTCCTAAATCCAGAATTGGTTGGAATTATAATGAAAAGTGATTATGTAGAATCATGTCAGTTTATTCTGAGCAGACTTAGAGAATGATCTTGCCAGTTTCTTAATTTCTGAAGCAATATGATAGCATCTTAGCTTAAGGATTACCATAATAAGAAGTTTATAATTTTAGCATACTCTGTATTTGTATTGGTTTAACAAGTTAATACCCACTCCCCATTTTTTTTTTGAGAAAAGAGCTATGAACTTAACAAGCCCTAGTTTATATTGAGGAATTTAAAAGTCAGTTTCATCCCTGGAGGCATCATCTATCATTTTATCCTAAAGTGATGTCTAACAGCAACTCATATGAAAATTTTTTTCCATAATTAGTCATTTTCAGCAATTTTTGCATTTTATATCAAAAGATGAGCATACTGCTAGTGAAATTACTGTAAATCACTGGAAGAACTTATATCCAGCATCTATGACTTACACAGATATAACACTTGTGTACTTTAAACCACTTAAAAAAAAATATTTCCAGAGAAATTCTGAAATCTTAATTCAGTTATGACTTCTGGCAATATATTTTAAAATATATTTCCAAGAAATGAATTTTTATATTCTTTCTTTCTAATAGCAAGTATTATAAATAATACTTATAAGAAATTGGTAGAGAAATTGGCTTGAATGTGTGTGTGTGTGCGCGCGCATGTGTGTGTGTGTGTGTGTGTATATACACATCAGATTTTTGGGCTTGGTATTAAAAGATTTGGGGTGTGTGTATGTCTTTAACTTGAAAAATACACATACAGAAAATAAATCTTTAATTCCAAGTTTAAAGGGTGTATTGGCATATGCTGAAATCTTGTGGTATTTTTATTAAACTTGTCAAGAAAACTGGAACCAGATGTTAATTAAGTTACGCTTGCTGTCTCTGAAAGTGAAATCTTAAAAATAGAATTATCTTTTTTTACTGTGTGCTTAAATAAATTGAATTTGCCTAATTATATTAGTTTATAAAATGTTGATTTTTTTTAAAATAGATTCTAAAGGAAGACTTCCATTTGGTAATTTGTTTAATCAGTGCAAGTGAAATTAAGGAACAATGGATGTAGAAAATGAGCAGATACTGAATGTAAATCCCACAGGTGAGTAGTGTTTTGTGACAAGCATCAGACCATTCGTTAGTAAAACTGTCTTTAAACACCAGCTTTTTCATGCTGTAAGAAAACAGGTTATATTATTTTTAAAATCAAGTTTTTGTTTATTAATATTTTCACACGGGGTTGTTAGTGATTTCTTCAACATAGACTTAGTTAGCATCTTTGATATCTTTCCTAACTATTTGTTTGAAATTGAAATTACTTGTGGTATTTTCCCATGGTACTTCAATAGCACATTAATACCATAAAAATAAACATGGTTTTGTGGACTAGATGACTAAATGCTGAGTAAAATGTGTTTATTGTGTAGCTTTCAGAATTTTCTTCCCAAAGAGTTAATTAGGATTGTGCAATATGTTAATAGTCATATTAGTATATTTTAGATAAGTATTTACTTAATAGTTTTATTAACATTGAAAGATTTGTATTTTTCTGTACTCTAAAATATATTTCATGGTTAAATACTACAGCTTCATTTCTCCAATGACTTTTATTCACTATTGTATACAACTTTAGTTTTTTTTGATCTTGATTTAATGTAGGCTAGAAAATTATAGTTGAAAATTCACTCCAATAATTAGTGATTATTTCTGTGCTGCTAGATATAATAGGTAAGTGAATACTGGGCATGGTGGTGCATACCTGTATACCAGCAGCTCTGAAGGCTGAGGCAGGAAGATCACAAATTCAAGACCAGCCTCAGCAACTTAATGAGACCTTGTCTCAAAATTAAAAATAAAAAGGGCTGGGGTTGTGGCTTAGTGGTTAAGCACTCCTGGGTTTAATCCTCAGTACCAGAAAAAAAAAGTGTTTCATACCTAGGCTTCTTTTCTGCACTGTCCAGTACAATAACCACTAGCTATTTGTGGCTATTCTGAATTGAGATGAAGGAAAATCTCAATTTTTATATTGATTACATGTTCAAATTACATTATGGTTATATGAGATTGAATAAAACATAGTAAAATTAATTTTACCCATTTCACTTACTTAAAAAAAATTTTTTTTAGTTGTTGAAGGACCTTTATTTATTTATTTATATGTGGTGCTGAGAATTGAACTCAATGCTTCACAATATGCTAGGCAAGCGCTCTACCACTGAGCCACAGCCCCAGCCACATCTCATTTACTTTTTAATGTGGTTACTAGAAAATTTAAAATGATGTAGCTTACATGCCATTTCTATGAGAAAGCACATCTCTGAGATTTATAATTTTTGTTTTCTTACTATAATAAGACATCATTATAACTCCTCTCCCCAGTACTAAGGGATTTATTCTTTAGTATTTGGGTAGGCATGAGACAGACTTTGCAGTAAATTCTTACTATAGCATATAGTCCCAGTCAGACTAGTGTATTAATTCCAACTTCTACATTTACCAGTTTTGTTACTTTGAGGAAGTAGGTTATTTACATGACCTTCAGTTTCCTTATATATATAATTGGGTTATATACTTCTATAGGTTTATTTTTAGGATTAGTGAGATATGTATGTCAAGCATACAACACTTATTAGATATGTAAAGTAGTCCTAAATTTGTTATTATAATTTTTCCACTCATTGTACACCAGAATTGGAAATGTGATATTCTTATACTTCAGACATATAAGTTGAAGTGGTTACTGCTGAAATGTCAGAGAATTCACAGAGAGGGAATTAGTACATGGTAGAAAACAATTTTGAAGTTATCACATTCTCTGTACTCAGTTTTTTTATCCTTTTAATTTTGATTTTCTTAAGTTAGATTAATAGTGATTTGATTTGTCCAAAATTTAGGTGAGTCTGAATTGAATAGCAAGATATTAAAAAAAGCAATCCATATAAACATGAGTTAAAAATAATAAGGTCAGGGGCTGGAATTGTGGCCCAGTGGTAGAGTACTTGCTTGGCATATATGGGGCACTGGGTTCAATCCTCAGCACCACATAAAAATAAAATAAAGATATTGTGTCCACCTAAAACTAAAAAATAAATAAATTAAAAAATAATAAGGTCAAATTAAACTATTCCTAGAGAAAATACTGCTGCAGACACACAAACGTATTTAAGAAGGTGCTAAAATAGTTGGAGAAAAGAAACTCATGGGAAATAGATATGTTTTAATTAAATATTTTAATATTTCAAGAGACAGTTTAACACCTTTTATTATACTTCTAAGTCCTTTATCTTCTGGACTGTTTATAGTTTAATGTTAGCATAATGAAAGCAATATATTTCAGGTGATACTATTTTTCTTAACCACCCATTCTTACTTGAAAACTCCATCTAATTTGTCTGTCTGGTCTTTCTCCTTTCCTTTAATCTTCTGTTGATCTTCTCTACATTCACTCCTTTGTTCATCCTGTCTTTTTAGCTATCAGCACTGCTATATTCTTCTTTTATGTTTTCTGTAGTTATAATCTTATGAAATTAAAAATGTGAGTTTGATTCCTGGTCACAATCCTTTCCAGATAGGGTAACTTTTCAATAAAATATTACCTTCTGAAAAGCGAGGTTAAACTTCAATAACTTGTATATAGAGCTTTTTGAGGCTTTTAGACCATATATGTAAAATGACTGGCATAGAACCTGAAGTCTAGTGTGTACCAGGTAGAACCTGGTATCTCGTAGCTTAATGATAGTAACTGTAATGAAAAAAGAAGAAATGATAGTGGTGCTACTATTAAGATGATAAATTATTCTTGCTAGTTTAGTTATGATGATATCTCATTCATATCTTGTAACACTAGCTTCCCACGACAAAAACTTGTAAAGCATTATTTTACTCTTCCTAAATCCTGAATCTGTTCCACTTGAAACTGTTTTTTTCAAAGTGTGACATTATTATTAACTCCAGTTACTACTATTAACCTTTTCCAATTAGCTTGTGTCTGAATTACTGCAACATTTTCTTAGCTGGTCACCCCCTTTACATTTTGTTTTTGTCTGCTATATTTTGATTTTTAAAAACTTAAAAAAAATTTTTTTTAGTTGTAGTTGGACACAGTACCTCTATTTTATTATTGATTGATTGATTGATTGCTGCTGAGGATTGAACCCAGGGCCTCACATATGCTAGGCGAGTGCTCTACTACTGAGCCACAACCCTAGCCCTATCTGATATATTTTGTATTCCTCCCTGAAATTGATAACCTGCACTCCTACCTATGATATCAAATCTAAGGTTTAATGATTTGAACATGGGAGTAGTCAGCAGTGATAGTGTAAGGTAAGCAGGGGCAAGATCACAAATGACTTTAAATTACAATGTAAAGATTTTACATTTTATTTTAAGATAATGGGAAAACCTTTCAAAGGGTTTTCAGTGTGGGCATGATTTGGACAATCAGTTTCTTCCATATGGAGGCTCGTTGGAAGATGGAAAGCAGGAAGATTATTTATGAGACTAATGGGATAATTTGAGTCCACTTAATGTTTTGTTTTTGTTTTTGTTTTTGCGGGGTGGGGGGTGTAGGGGTACTGGGGATTTGACTCAGGGGCACTCAATCACTGAGCTACATGCCTATCCCTATTTTGTATTTTATCCAGAGAAAGGGTCTCACTGAATTGCTTAGTGACTCACCATTGCTGAGGCTGGCTTTGAACTCATGATCCTCCTGTCTCAGCCTCCTGAGCTGCAGGGATTATAGGCATGAGCCACCGTAACCTGCATGTTTTTGTTTCTTGATTACAACAATGTTTGTTATTAACTGTCAGGAGTTTTAAGTGTGAACCTTTTCAGAATTTGATTAGAATTTTTAGTTTCAACATATCTTAAAACATTAAATCCCATGCACATAGATGTGATGCACTGTAGTTATAAGTAGGCATATTTAAAAACATTTAAGAACTGGGCATGGTGATGCACACCTGTAATTCCAGCTACTATGGAAAGTCTGGGTAGGAGGATTGCAAGTTCAGGGCCAGCCTGGGTAACATAATGGGACTCTGTCTCAAAATAAAAAGGGCTGGGGATGTAGCTCAGTGGCAGAGTGTTTGCCTAGCATGCATGTGGTTCTTGGTTCAGTCCCTATTACTTCAATACAAAAAAAAAAAAATTTGAGTGATTCAGCTCTGACTTGAGTTAACCATTGATGAACAAAACCAGCCCAGTGATAACTAATTCAATAGCTTTTCTGATTTAAAAAGTTTTCAGAGCAAAGCCAAATGTCTCCACATGATTTCTGTGGGCTTTTGAGGTACCAGAATGAAGGATGATTTGCAAAGTGTTGGTAGTAAATAGAAACACAGGTTAATCATGGTCATGACCTAGTTGGAAAAGCAAGACTGCTTCAAAAGAAATAACAAACTAATTTCCATGATGTGTTAAATGAGCAATGTGTGACTATTAGTGTAGCTGTGACTAGAGTTGTTATATGCAAGGAGTCGGATAGAGGTATATCCTAAAGAATTTTGATAACTGAAAGAGCAAGGGTGAAATTAAAAAGGGGATCATATAGAACTCCAAATCTGTTGCTCTCTTTTAGGGTATACTGTCCAAATTTGTTGCTCTCTTTTAGGGTATACTGTCCTTTTAAGCTAGAAGATTTCCAGAGTATGCAAAGTATAATAATATGAGTCAAATTTGGGGAGATAAATTAGACTTTGAGATGATGGATTTGAAAACAAACCTTATCTTGAAGGCAGCTCATAAATCACATATGATCACATATTGGCCAAATGTCTTTCATTCTCTTTTGAGTTACTGATATTTCCTAACCCTAACAGGGTAACTGTACTTCATTATGGCATGTTTGGCAAGTCATTTAAACACTCTGAGCTTTAGTTTCCTCATTTGTATAAATGGTATAATAATTAACTGCCCAGTCTTGCGGGTAAACAACAAAGTATACAGTGAAATGCCTGACAAATAATAGACTTTCTGTAAATATTAATTTATCTCCTTTCTCTCAAGATTCTTCATCTTGTTATTTCAATTGCTTAACTCTCCTTGCTCACAGATGTCTGATTTTATGGTATTGATATTGATATAGATTTTATGATTAATCCTATGAGATAACATTTTAAGGACACCTTGTTAAAATCAATGCCTTAGTTTATTTTCCTTGATAATGGGAAAAGTAATCTTATTTGGTTGTCATTTATTAGATCGAGTCATAGGAAATTGCCAATTTTGACTATTAACATACAGAAATGGTAATTTCATGAGGTTCACCTTTATCAAACTCAGGACCATATCTAGTAGAACAGTGGATATTTAAAACAATACTTAGTTTTCATTTTTTTCCTTTAAAGATCCTGATAATTTAAGTGACTCACTCTTTTCTGGTGATGAAGAAAATGCTGGTACTGAGGAAATAAAGAATGAAATAAATGGAAATTGGATTTCAGCATCCTCCATTAATGAAGCTAGAATTAATGCCAAAGCAAAGAGAAGGCTACGTAAAAACTCATCCCGGGACTCTGGCAGAGGTGATTCCGTCAGTGATAACGGAAGTGAAGCCCTTAGGGGTGGAGTAACTGTGCCAACCAGTCCAAAGGGAAGGTTGCTGGATAGACGATCTAGATCTGGGAAAGGAAGAGGACTACCAAAGAAAGGTTGGTATACACCACGTGCAGAGAAACAAATGGGAAAAAATTGTGTGGTTCTTGTCCTATGATTTCCTTGTTCTAGGAATGAGAGAAATTTAAACAGTAAGTTTTATAGTTTGTATATATCTTTGCATAGAACAATTTGAGGACCATCTCATTTTTTCTTTTGTTGATTCTTTTTTTTCTTGTTTGAGTACATTTAGTTTTCTCAAGCTGAACTTAACTGTTACTTCCAGCAAAATATGGTATATACTGATGTTTTTCAGTTATGAATTGTGCATTTACTGCTTTTGAAAGTAGTAGTCAGATTTACAATACCTCTTTTCTAATGAATTTTTATAAATGTCCATTATTAAGAATAATAAATAGAAATTTAGTAACACCTGTACAAAATTTTAATGCTTTCATAGATATGGTTCTGTGTGATACTGTATTTCCAGTATCTGGAATAGTGACTAGCACTTAAAATGTGTTGAGTGAGGGATTTTTTAGCTTCTGTCTTTAGTAAGATTTTGATACAATTCAGAGACTTGACTAACTTCTGAATGATTGCCATAGCTTTAATTTATAGCCTAATTATAATTTTGATTCTTTTCTGGTGATTAATAAAGTGCTTGGGCCAGGTGTGGTGGTTCATGCCTGTAATCCTGGGCAGGATGATCACCAGTTTGAGGCCAGTCTTAGAAATTTAGTGAGGCCCTAAGCAACTTGATGAGACCCTGTCTCAAAAAAGGGCTGAGTATGTGGCTTAATGGTTAAGCGCCCCTGGATTCAATCCCCAGTATCAAGAAAAATTAAAGTGCTTAGAATGAGAAAAAAAGAATGAAATATGGGGAAATTGTATTTCAGCATCTTCCATTAGTGAAACTAGAATTAATGCCAAGGCAAAAATATGACTATGGAAAAAAACAGTGTTCCTTGAGGGGAAAGAAGAAAAAAAGAGTTATAAAGGACAAAACATTCAGATAAACGGAAATTATAGTGTTTTGTTAGCAATTGCTTTTGCTTTTGAATACTTTTCCAATTATTGTTTGGATCAAAATGAAACCCCGTTTATCAGATTCTGGTTTACTTTGATGGTAAGGATTATACTCGAGGTACAAAATAAATTTCCAAAAAAGAAATATTGATGATGTTATAAGGGTTCTTAAATATATAGTATATTGGGCCTTATAAAAACATTCTAGTAAGTTAATGTGGAAAAAAATCTTAGAAAGGTGGAATTGTTAAATTCATACTGGTTGGTATATAGAAGAAAGAAATAGTTATTAGGCCTGTTTATGCCTAAATAGCAATTAATTATTTGTAACATTTTGCTAATTGCAAGGTATAATACATACTTTTATATCTGGAGTATTTGATTTTAAACATTACTAAGTGGGCATTGGTATTTCTCTATTAAATAAATAATTTTTCCCTTGTTGGATTTTCTGGGCCATGTTTAATTGGTCCAACATATTGTTCTTTTTTGGACTTTAAGAAATGCCAAAATTTAGAGCTCAATTACCCTAAATAGCTATATACAAAGGTCCTTGGTATGGCTATTTTTCAGATCATTTTTTTCAATTTTGCTTTTATTTTAAAGCATCTGCTTTTTAAGTTTTTACCTATATAACGTATTCAATTTGCTGTTTTAAGAAATAGTTTATAAAATATACACAATCCAATATTACTGAAAAAAGTGATCCAAATAAAAACTTTCAAATGTAATTTTCAACTTGAAAAATAAACTAGCATGAAATTAGAATAGTTTTTAAGCTATTACTTAACATTTATACATTTAGAGTTATTTCAGATTTCAGCTAAAATTTGTGAACTATTAACTTTTTCCTTTTTCAATTCTAAACTTTGTCAGGTGGTGCAGGAGGCAAAGGTGTCTGGGGTACACCTGGACAGGTATATGATGTGGAGGAGGTGGATGTGAAAGATCCTAACTATGATGATGACCAGGTATCAATGATTTACTTTTTAAAGATATTTAAAATTATTATAAATTTTTGACTTCTTGTTTGAAGTTTACTCAGATTTGTCAAATGATATTGTATATATTTATATTTTATACTTGTATATACTGCATATGTATCTAAGTCATATATTTGGTACTTCTCAAATTGCTAGGTTAGTTTTAGTTTAGGAAACCCAGTTATCTCATAGTAACATATAGATAATTCTTACTTGGTCTCTTTGACTCAAAAGAAGGTAGGGGCTGAGGCTATAGCTCAGTGGTAAAGTGCTTGTCTCATGTGTGTGAGGCACTGGGTTCAATCCTCAGTACCATATAAAAATAAATAAAGATACTGTGCTTTCATCTACAACTAAATAAATATTTTTTAAAAAGGTAAAGATTTTCAAATTTACTTAGGATTATTAAATTCTCCATTTTCAATAAAGTCTGTTGAGTAACTATAATTTCTATAGTATGATAATTGAGAAAATTCTAACTTTTTTTGAATATAAAAATTATAAATAGGCTTCTTTTTAATATTACTATTGAGCATGGTAATGATATGATAAATTTTGTTTTGGGAACATATGATTTTTTCCCCCTAGGGATAATGCTGAGAATATAAATTTTAAATGGTTTTATAGAAAAATTTTAATGTATTTATCTTTTTAATGGAAAAATTCCACAAGTAGAGCAAATAGTGTGATGAATCTACTTGTATTCATCTCAGTTTCACCAGCATCAATAATTAACTTGCAGGCAGTCTTGTTTCATTCTTTATTTTCATTTACTCTTCTCCATCTGTTGCCTTCTCCTTTTACCATGTTCTGGATTATTTTGAAGCAAATAAGATATTATGATACAATTTTTAAAAATACTGTCTTTGTATAAGATAGGAAATGATGGTGAGGATTTTAAACAGGAAAAAATTCAATATATGTTAGATTGTTTTTATTGTGTATTTGAATATATATATATACTTAACTAATAGTTGAACATGAAAATATTTCTAAAAGAATATGAAATATATATTTAAAACCAGTGGGATTTACATACTGTAAAATCTACTATTAGTCTTTCAAGTGCATTTTGTTAGACTAAAGCCAGTCACAAATTGCAAATAAATATTTCAGAGATTTTTTTTTTAATAGGGGCAAGAAAAATGGTTTGGTAATGGGCATTAATCTTAGCTCTTTTGAAATTTCAATTGAACAGTGCTTTTCCTTAGAGATTGTTCAGTCAGTACAATATTAATCTCTTTTAAACTTCTATACTTTAGACTTTTATAATATTAATCATGAAGGATTTGGTTCCTGATTTGTAAAAACTTGACAAATATTAGGACATATTTATGAGGTACTACTTTATCTTTAAAAGTAAAGTTTTAATGAAAATACAATTATGACAAGAAGCCATCTTCAAGAGTTTTGCTTATTGAAAAACTGGTTTTGAGAGTAATATAAAAAATTAATACAAGATATAGGGGTTGGGAGCAAATCATATATTTGCTATGGTGAGTGGTTCTAATCTGCATATTGGCTTATTGAATTCTGAGTGTATAAGAAAGGATGAGGTGTGTATGCTATTTTTATGTAATATGATCAAAGCAGGTAGCATGTCTTTATCTTGCCCTAAATGGGGATTACTAACCAGTGAAAGCATAAAGTTAAAATTTCAGTTTATCTGAATATTTTGTTCTTTAATTTATAACTTTTTTTCTCTTTTTCGTTCATAGGAGAACTGTGTTTATGAAACTGTAGTTTTGCCTTTGGATGAAAGGGCATTTGAGAAGACATTAACACCAATTATACAGGAATACTTTGAGCATGGAGATACTAATGAAGTTGCGGTAGGTTTAAAGTTGCAAGTATAATTTATTCAGTATAGCAGAGAAGACACTTATTATAAGCAAAACTTAACTAGAGCAATCTTGGATCCCTGAATGTGCTTAAGCATTTCCTTTTGCACAAATAAATTTGTAACTGAGAGTGGAATAAAATCTTGTTACATTAATAAATCAGTTCTTGTTCTTGTATATTTGGGATTTGACAAGATTTACATGCCATTTCCCTCCCCAAAAATGGCACTATACACTATTTTTTAAGTATATGTACATTTATAACACCTATTTTTATAATTTACAAAATACACGTTATCAATTTCAGGGCATTTATGGGTCCTTTGATATCTCATCAGGGACCTCAGTTAAGAATGCCTCACTTAGTTTCATTGTTTTGGCATTTATTTCAGTGTTCTGGATTTGGTTAAAATTTATCTTTGTGCTCTGTCCAAAAAACAAAGAACCACTGATGTAAAGATTTGCAAAGGAATGTACACAGCAGAAACAAAGAGAATAAAGTTAAGTAATTTTGAGCAATCTAGAAGTAAAATAGGTTTCATCAGGATTACTGGATTAAGATACAATTGCAACTCTTGAGAAGACTTTTTATAATTTAGATTTCTTAAAATTGAGACTGGACTTTCTTAATTTGTTACCATGAGGTTTGGATTCTTTGGATTTGTAGGATTTCAATATAAAACAAATATTTTTTTTAGTGTATACTATGTGGAGGAATTTATGATAGGTTATTCCTACCCTTTTGAATCCCAGGAAGTGAAGGAAATGATATATACATACAGATTATTAAAATATAAGGTGAAACACTCTATTATAGAAGAAGAGTGTTAAGGTCCTGTGAAGGCAGGTACTTAAAAATCTTTGAATACTATGATTAACTGAGTAGTGCTCTGAATAGAGTGTTGTGGAAGCATAAAATGGAGAGCAATGGAAGAAGTGATTCTAAGCCATCTGAAGCATGATTAGGTGTTTGCTAGATAAGTGTTTGAAGAAAGTGTTTCAGTAAAGTGGACTATCATGTTCAAAAGCAATAAGTTGTTCAAAAGCAATAAGTTATGGAATAAAATAGGATGTAGGAAGAGATTACTAACTAGGACACTAGTTAGATGGTTGTGAATAATTCTGGCATTCTTCTGGTAGTAAACCATGATTTAACAATTCTAAGAAAACTCTAAGAGGAAGGCATTCATAAGTAGTTGAGTTAGAATTTAACCTCTGGGGTCTTAGTACCTGTATTCCACTTCAAGTTTGACCACTCTTGGGCGCCCTCAGCCATTCCTTTTTCTGTGAAAAATTTAAAAATTTTAATTACTTTTTGGTATGCTGAGTAGGATAATTTAATACTCAAAAGCCTAATTTGAGTATTAAATGTGGTAATACAAAGTGGCTGTTATAATGCTATATTATAAGTGGTCATTAAGTATTAGTTGCTGTATTATATTTTTAATAGGAAAATTTCACTTTATCCTAGTATTTAAAACATTAGTCCTATCTAACAATAATGGTTTAGGATCTCATTGAAGCTTAACTTAAAAGTATAAATTTTTGCTTCTAGAGAAAGATTTGAAGAAAAGTAAACAGCTTATGATAATGTAAAATGCAGTTCTCCACAAGTGCCCATCACTTAGTATCCTACAAATAATACTAATACATTGTAAAGGAGAGGGTTAGTTACTAACATCATATTAGTAATATGTAGTTTAATGAACTATTTTCACTGTAGTTTATATTCTTTTTAAAAATTCTTTTGAATAGGAAATGCTAAAAGATTTAAATCTTGGTGAAATGAAAAGTGGAGTACCAGTGTTGGCAGTGTCCTTAGCATTGGAAGGGAAAGCTAGTCATAGAGAAATGACATCTAAACTTCTTTCTGACCTTTGTGGGACAGTAATGAGCACAAATGATGTGGAAAAATCATTTGATAAATTATTGAAAGATCTACCTGAATTAGCATTGGATACTCCTAGAGCACCACAGGTTTGTATCATTCTTTTTATTCATTTCCTTTCCCCTTTATTCTTACAATTGTAGAAATAATATATGTTCCTAGTAAATTTTAGAAGGTGGAAGGTAAATAGGCCACATTGCCTCCCATACAAAAGTAGACCTCTAACATTATGGTGTCCTACCTTTTATTTTTTCTATATGAATGAAACTATGAATCCAACTTTATCTTTTCTCCTGTGCTTGTGTATGTTTTAGAATGTGTGTGTGTGTGTGTGTGTGTGTGTGTATAGCATATATATACAGGATACACACAAACAGGGTTTTGTCTATTTATAGTATATGTAAGAAGTAGTAGCAAGGATTTTTAAAAAGTACATTATAATTGAATTTGCTTATGTGTATTATAAAAAGTTATTTGTAACTTTGAAAATGTGAAATTGTGCTATTAAAGTTTTTAATCAAAGTTTTAAATATTAATTTAGAAATAGGGTATAGAAAGGTCAGTTTCTAAATGCTGTAGTGCTTCCTATGACAGAAGTCTGTGGAAGGTATTGAGCTGTGATTCAAAAGTGGATCTCTTTCTCTCTCCACGCCAGTACATACTTAAAGAAAATAATTACAAGAGTTTGTATTAATTATAGAATTTTTGAAAAATAAGAGCAAAAATGAGTAAAGTCCACAAAAATAACTACTGTGAAATTTTGATGGTGTTTTCCTTGTATTTTATTTGTTTTATATCAGTATATGGCTTCTATTTATCTTTGTATTTTTGTTTAATTAGAAAATGGAATTGTACCATGTATGCTATTTTGTAAACTGGATTTTTCTCAGACTGTAAAATATGGTTAATATTTTCTCCTATGGCCACATAGTGTCCCATTTTATGTCTGTATTATTTAGTTACACCTTCATTATTAGACACTGAAATTGTATACAAATTTAATAATAAATACTATGAACAAATTTAATAATAAATACTATGAACAAATTTCAAATAGTTTTGTACAACTTTTCTCCCTAAATTTCTTTAATCAGCTTTTTAAAGAAAACTTGACTTATTTTTTAGGAAAGGTTTCTCTTGACTTTTAAGTCATTCATTTAACATTTAATAAAGTATCAGGCAGCGTGCAAGGTACTGGAATTCAGTAGTGGGCAAAGCAGATGCGGTCCCTACTCTGATAATATTGAACTTGAAGATCAAGATATGGGAGCATATGCCAAGCATGACTAATGGGTGCCAAATAGCTGTTTTTGTATAATCCAGCATGTCTTTTAGGCATTGACTGTGTAGTTAAACCAGTCTTCATCATTTACGTATTTAGAAATTGTGTCCTATATAGAGCTTTTTTTTTTTTAAAATATAGATCTCTTTCTTCTTATAGTTGGTGGGCCAGTTTATTGCTAGAGCTGTTGGAGATGGAATTTTATGTAATTCCTATATTGATAGTTACAAAGGAACTGTAGATTGTGTACAGGCTAGGTAAGTAAATTAATTTTCCTACTTGAATTTATCAGCCATTCTGGACATCTGTTTGTCACTTGTCTACATTCTCTACTTTTAAAACAATGAAAAGATTTTTGACATGATACAACAGGAAGAAGGTGGTAACAAAATGTGGAAATTCTGAGTTTTAACTGATATATTAGTTACCTTCATGTCATGTCACTTTTCTCTGTATGTCTGTGCCCTGTTTGTAAAATGAAAGTATTGGATGTGGAATGTTCTTTAAGGTTCTTTAAGGTTCTAACATTCTGCAGTTATTTCATATTCTAATAAGATGAACAACATTAACAGAGGGGCCTATTAGAATTTTGTTTTTGTATTTATTTACTGTAGAAATATAATGTAGAAATATTAGTCAGAAAATTATATTTTTCACTCTTGTTCTTTTTCAATCATAAGCTAAACGTGATATTTGGGAGTTTTGCTATATGATTTTTCTTAACTTCTTAGAAATTTAGAAATAGAGAAGTGGAATTAGCTACCCATCTTGGTTTTTCCTAGTTCTAGATATTAACTTAATTTTCTAGGGCTACTTTGGGTCACAGTGGAATGGTACTTCTGGATAGAAAGGCATGGATCTAAGTAAAAGCTATATATAAATCTTCCTTTTCTCTGTAGATCAACTGTTGGGTAATATCTTTTGATTTTTCTTGAGAAATGGAAGTAATAGAACAGGAAAATCAAATTTTTACTTCCATTTCTATTTTGAAAATAATTTTAAAAACAAATTTTGAGTTTTTTATTGCTTGTATTATATCAGAGTTTTTAGAACAATAGGATTTTGTGATCTTTATAATTTGTAAACCTCATGCATATCCAACTTTCAAAATTAAATATTTTGTTTTTATAGAGCTGCTCTTGATAAGGCTACTGTCCTCCTGAGTATGTCTAAAGGTGGAAAACGTAAAGACAGTGTGTGGGGCTCTGGAGGCGGGCAGCAACCTGTCAATCACCTTGTTAAAGAGGTACCTATTGGGTTTTGTTTTTAACTTAATTTATATGTGTTTCTGTGAAAGGAAAAAACTGCCTGCTAATGGGTATTTTTGTGGGCAGAAATTCAACTTAGTCTTAGTTGCAAATGGAAAATTGATCCTTTTAAATTAACCTTATACCCTCTTACTTTAAGTAATGTGCTAAATTATAATTATATAGTTGTTAATTTTTTTCATTTCTGTGACTTAAAAATGATTCTGTTAAAACTTTTCATGAATAATTACAAGAAGGCTGTCTGAACTTTTAAGGAATGCCTGAAATCTTTTTTTTAACATATTTTAAATTTTTAAAATTTAAAATGTTATAATGAGATTATTTTGTAGTTATTCAGTAAGTATGTTTTTACATGGTTAATTTGAAACTGAATAGTGTCTGATCATAAGTGTGAATTACGAGCACTAGAGCAAATCAGTGTTATATTTTTGTGAGGAAGTTCACTACCTTATATGCATTCCTTAAAAGAAAAAGTAATTGAATTATTACATTGAAATGCCAGATTTATTCCCTATGAAATTATTTCTGGTGTTTTATAACAACAAAAAAAAGTAATTTTCTTACCTAAGTCATATAATTAATGACTTAAAGTTTATGTGCTTGTGATTTTTAACAATCTTTTCATGTGGGAATAATTTTTATTTTTAATCTTTTTTATATACAATTGTTTTAATATTATATTTCTAGTTTAAGTGTTAAGGAGCACAAATGGAAGGTAGAGCTTTGACTATTTTTGCATATTTGTTAAAATAATAATTGAGTGAAAGTTTCTAATGTCACAGTGTTTCAAAAAAATTAATTATTAGAATAATTTGAGGTATAAAAATGGCCAAGATGCCAGGGCAATTAGGAAAGAAAAAGAAATAAAAGGACATTCTGATTGGAAAGGAAGTAATTCTAGCTCTAATTCGTAGTTAGGAAATCTAAATAAATCACAAAATAAGTTCCCCCAAAAAAAACCGTCAGCAATTCAGCAAGGTTGTAGGATATAACATTAATATAAACAATTCAATTCTAGGACTGGGGTTGTGACTCAGTGAAGGAGTGCTCGCCTAGCCTGAGGTACTGGGTTTGAGCATCAGCACCACATAAAAATAAAATAAAGATGTTGTGTCCATCTACAACTAAAAAAAAAAAGTGAGGGCTGGGGATGTGGCTCAAGTGGTAAAGTGCTTGCCTGGCATGCGCCAGGCGCTGGGTTCGATCCTCAGCACCACATAAAATTATTAAAATAAAGATGTTGTGTCCACCGGAAAAAAAAAAAACTGAAAAATAAATATTAAAAAATTCTCTCTCCCTCTTTAAAAAAAAAAGTGAAAAAAGTTCAATTCTATGTTAATATAGTAGCAATGATGATCTAAAATAAAACAGTTACATTTACAGTAGCATAAAAAATAAAATACTAAGAAATTTAACAGAATAAATACAAGTCGTGTACACTGGAAACTGCCAAACACAGCTTAAAATAATCTGAAAGACCTAAATGGAAAGATATCCCATGTTTATGGATTAGAAGACGTAATATCATTAAGATGGTGGTTTTCTCAAAGTATTTTGAGAAACTGACAAACTGAGGTGTTATATGAATTATTTCTCAATAAGCATGAGATAACCTCTATCAATAGTGAGTTTCAGTTTGACATTATTTAGATATTTATTTACATGAAAGGAAAGTTTGGACAAAGACTTTTTTGTCATTTATCATTCTTAAAAATTCGTGGAATCTGAGGGGGAACATTTTACCTTTTATGTTACAGAAAATATTAAAAACTAATGAGTGCATGGCACATGCACATCCCAGCAACTTGGGAGGCTGAAGCTGGAGGATTGAAAGCTCAAGGCCAGCCTTAGCAATTTAGCAAGGCTCTAAACAACTTAGCAAGATCCTGTCTCAAACTAAAAAATAAAAAGCATTGGGGATGTGGCTCAGTGGTATCCTTAGGTTCAATCCATAGTATCATGGGTGGGGGAAGTCAAAACTAAGTAACATAATTTAAATAACAAATGTTAATAGATAATTATAAAGCAAAAGTGCTTTATTCAAGTGCTCTGCTTTAAATATTTACTTTCTTAAAGCATGATAGTAGGAATTATTTATCAGGATGTATTCTATTTAATTTTTTGGTATTGGTATTGAACCCAGGGATGCTTTACTATTAAGCTACATCTCCAGTGTTTTATTTTTAATTTTGAGACAGGGTTTCACTGAGTTGCTGAGGGTTTCACTAAGTTGCTGAGGCTGGTTTCCAACTTTCGATCTTTCTGTCTCCGCCTCTCATTGCTGGGATTATAGGCATGTGTCCTTACTCCCAGTCAGTATGTATTCTAATGATAAAATTTTAATTTACTTTTTATGAAAATACGTTGTAAAAGTTGAAAGTAGAGGATACTTTAAATTATTTTATTCAATCAGCCAACATTCATTGTGTTGTCCACTAGATGCAGGTGATTTTATAGGGAATTTATGAGGAAGAGAACATTTCTAGTTGAAGCCCTTGTGAGGAATAACTTTTCCCACCGTTTTCTAGAGCCATAGATTTTATTGCACAAGCTTGAGTGGAATAGCCCGGAGTTTCTTAGCCAGGCATGTTCTGGTACACCTGTAATCCTGGCTACTTTGGAGATTGAAGCAAGTTCGAGACCAACCTAGGCACTTTCATAAGACCCTGTGTCAAAATAAGAGAGATGGGGATGTAGCTTAGTGGTAGAATGTTGCCTACCACATGCCAGGCCCTAAGTTCAATTACTAGTATTGGAGGTTGAGGGGGGGGGGACTTAAGCTACAATTGGAACCTGAACTATTGATGAATATTTTTAGATAATGGGTTTCAAATCCTCACTTGTAGAGAAGAGGAACTACATGGATATCTTTGCTCTATTGAATAATGCCTCATTATTATCTTATTTTTGGCTCCCATTGCATTTTTCAGATCATCCTGATAGAAATGAATTATTTTGTCAGTTCAAAAATTCAGAGAGACTTTCAGTTAGTGCCCTCTAGTGGTATTTAAAAATCCTTTATTTTTAACCCTGAGGCATTGTGGTCACAATCTACTTGTAGATTTCAGTGACCTACTTGTAGATTTCAGTGATTATTCAGACACACTGAAACACTCTATTTGCTTCATATTTATTAATCATTTAAAAGTTGGAAATCTTTTAATTATGAAAAAAGTGCCTTTATGAGAGTACCATGCCAAGTCTGTATTTTTTTAGAGAGCTGTTTATGACTTGCTCTTTTGTCTCATAACATTGGGATAAGGTTTAAATAAATTTAGGTAACACAACTTTTTAAAAGTCAGAAATTCTAACACATTCAACTTTTAAATCCAATAGATTGATATGCTGCTGAAAGAGTATTTACTCTCTGGAGACATATCTGAAGCTGAACATTGCCTTAAGGAACTGGAAGTACCTCATTTTCACCATGAGCTTGTATATGAAGTAAGATTACTTTGCGTTGTTAAAGAGAATTTTTAAACACTTATTTTTGCACTGTAGTGACAACACTTTTTAAATAACATATCTTATAAAAATATTAAATTACTTAAAATTTTAAGATTATTATAAAATCAGGATCATATATTTAAGGAAGCTTTCATATATGAATTAATGAATAAAAAGTTATTCATTCCATTTTTAGGCTATTGTTATGGTTTTAGAGTCAACTGGAGAAAGTGCATTCAAGATGATTTTGGATTTATTAAAATCTCTTTGGAAGTCTTCTACCATCACTGTAGACCAAATGAAAAGAGTAAGTATAATATTTTGAAAAATTTTTAGGCATATACCTTATATATACTGAATAAAGATTATGAATCATCAATGAAAGTTTCTTTTAGGCACATTTAGTGTTGTTATGCCTGTAGAATTTTTTTAAATGGTAGTGTTTGAGGTCTGAAACACTTGGAACATTATTTTGAAAGAAACATTTTAAGTGTTTTTTTGCCCGTTTTGAAAAAACGTGACTTGTTTTCTCCCTCATGGGTTCAGTTTCTAAAATATGACAATTTCTATTTCATATCTAGAGAAAAACATGAACTTTTTTTTATTTAGAGAGAGAGAGAGAGAGAGAATTTTAATTTTTTAGTTTTCGGCGGACACAACATCTTTGTTTGTATGCGGTGCTGAGGATCGAACTTGGGCTGCACACATGCCAGGCGAGCACGCTACTGCTTGAGCCACATCCCCACCCCAAAAAAACATGAACTTTTAACAAATTATACTTTTTTCCTATTTAAAATTGTGTTATTGAAATTTGGTTGATGTTTTTTATCTGCCTTGGGGTTTTTGAAAAGGTAGTAAATATAGATAAATAGACAAGGATTTTATCTGTTTATTTGCAGCTCTTTTGAGAAAAGTTTTAAAGAAAACATTCTGTAAGAAATGTACTTTACTTTTCAAAATTCAAATCTGACTTGTTTTACAGCATAAACATTTGGCCTTAAATATAGATTGATGACATAGTGATGGATTGTTTCATGACATGTATTTTTTATTTGTTCTTAAAAATTACTTATACATGACAGTAGAATGTATTTTGATATATGATACACATGGAATATAACTTTCCATTCTTCTGATTGAACATAATGCAGAATTACATTGGTTGTGTAATCATATATGTATATAGGAAAGTAATGTCCTATTCATTCTACTGTCTTATGACATGTGTTTTATATGGACTAACAATTCTGTACATAATTTCATTGTTTCAGGGTTATGAAAGAATTTATAATGAAATTCCGGACATTAACCTGGATGTCCCACATTCATACTCTGTGCTTGAGAGATTTGTAGAAGAATGTTTTCAGGCAGGAATTATTTCCAAACAACTAAGAGATCTTTGTCCTTCAAGGTACTTTTTTATTTAAATACTACTATCTCAATATAAAATCCTATATGAGGTGCTTGGGAAGGTTAAGCTAAGAGTTTTCTGTCATTACAGCTCTTTCAGAAAAATAATAGTATCTTCCTTGAAGTGACTGAAGAGCAAGAACCATGTTTTGAGTTTTTAGAGAAACAAGGGTAAAGCTTGTTTTGTCCCCTTGTATGTGTGTATAGGACTACTTCATGAAGCACCAGTGTTTGAAGCAGAATAATTTTGTGGAGCAGTTCTGTGTTGTACCAGACTCTTAAGTAGTTAAATGTTATTTCAGAGTAGGTATCATCACCTACAAGAGAGAAAATTGAGGCTTATGGAAGTATACTGTACCTTTTCTAAGGTCACATGACTAGTATATGGTAGAGGACAAATATGATTTCAGATATTTTCAGGCTCCAAAGATTTAGGCTTTTTTCCATACTGTGTGGCTTCCTTTGCTTTATTATAGGATGAAGAACTGAGGCTAACTGTTAGAAAGTATGTTCGTGGGTATTCAGTTATGTGTGTGTGCGCGCATGTGTGCGTGTGTGTATGTAAGGGTATTTTTCTTTGGAGGTAATTCTAATAAGATGTAACTTGAATTAGGGATTTTTGTTAATGACACTTATGATGTAATAGGTACATTTAGTAATAGACTAATTTGCTTGCATTTTACATAACATTTTGTTATTGTTTAATCTGAAAAAATTTCTGAACTTTTTTTTTTTTTTTTTAAATTTCTGAACTTTTAAGTGCATTGTGAAAACTGAATTTCAAAAAGTATTTCCTCTTATGGTCGTTTGCTTTAGAAAATTTAGAAGCCATTACGAGAGAAGGAAAAAAAATGGTGAAAGATTCAGTTCATTTATTTATCCATCTATTTATTTATTTATTTATTTTGGGGGCACTAGGAATTGAACTCTGGGGCACTAGACCACTGAGCCACATCCCCAGCCTATTTTGTGTTTTATTCAGAGATGGGGTCTTGCTGTGTGGCTTAGTGTCTCGCCTTTACTGAGGCTGGCTTTAAATTCAAGATCCTCTTGCCTCAGCCTCCCAAGCCACTGGAATTATAGGTGTGCACCACTGTGCCCAGCAAAAGATCGAGTTTAATGGCTTTGACAGAAATGTTTAGAAATGTCGACCTTCATTTATGATGGCACCATTCATAAATGTACTGGCATGCCAAATGGCACCAGTAAAATCACTCAACTTTGGCAAGATTTCTTGCTGTTTACTTCTTTATTTCCCTGCCTAAATCTCATAGTATATAGTGTAAAGCCTTTATATTCAATAAAATGTGGCTGGTTTCCACTTAGCCACAATTAAGTGTGAAAAGGGGTCAATACCACTATTTTTTAAAGTTTTTCAGCTTCTTTGAAAATGTTGATTTCTATTATGGCTTTACTCTTGAGGAGATACCTAAATTTTCAGGGTATTCCCAACAACTTTGACTTTTATCCTCTATCCTTTTGTTTATTTGGACTAAGTGCACATTTGTAATGGTCTTGCATGTTTATGTGTGTTAGTTGGGATCCGAGAGAGTAAAGGCTAATTTTTCATGGGATCTTTTCCCTTTACTGCTTTAGGTTGCTGGCTAGTTGTTCCTCTTGGACTGTTGCTACTACCTATAGATGGAGTGTGGTCACATTATAGGGAAGGGCTTCTTGAGTTTGAAATGCCAAGAATCCCAAAACTCTAGGGCATAACCTAGAGTTAACTGGATTGATTGGTTTTTCCACATTCAGGTTATGGGTTTTCTATAGCTGAGAAAAAGTTTTTTAAAAAATTTAAGTTACAATGGATAGTGTGATAAGTTCCATATTTCTAGTATGTGTAATTCTCAATTACACTATTAGTGTTTCCTATTTGGCTTAGTTTAGCTTTTATAATGTAACAGAAATAAATATTCTAAATAAAATATTTGCCTTAGTTTTCTATTTTAACTTTAAAAATATAACTCCAGTTAGATAATAAAACTTATTTCAATAAATAAGCTTTTAAGGGCTGGGACTGTAGCTTAGTGGGTAGAGCCATTGCCTCATAGGTGTGAGGCACTAGGTTTGATCCTCAGCACCACATAAAAATAAATGAATAAATATATTTTAAAAAATTATAATATAAGCTTTTAAACAAAACTACTCAGGTTTTGCTGTTCATTTGCTATTTTATGATAAGATGTGTAGCAGGGAAAAAAAGTCTTTCAAAACAAGACATGTTGACCTTTTCATGAATAATAAAACCCTTCAAAGTTTCCATTTTTTTCATTAAATATAGTCAGAATTTGTCTCTTTCATATTTTTATTTTTATTTTTCATTACAGGGGCAGAAAGCGTTTTGTAAGCGAAGGAGATGGAGGTCGCCTTAAACCAGAGAGCTACTGAATATAAGAACATATAAGAACTCTTGCAGTCTTAGATGTTATAAAAAAATATGTATCTGAATTGTAAGAGTTATTAGTTTTTTTTTTTAAGCACTTGTTTTGGGTACAAGGCATTTCTTTACTGAAATTTTATAAACTTACATTTAAGGGGAATTTTTAAAGGAAGTGTTTTCTTTTTCTTTTTTTTTTTTTTTAAATTTTTGAGGTGATAAAGGAGGGACAGAAAAATGTCCGCTTATGTGGAATATTCTAATAAGCTACTTTTTGTAAGTGCCATGTTTATGACCTAATCATTCCAAGTTTTGCATTGATGTCTGACTGCCACTCACTCCTTTCTTTCAAAGACAGTGTTTTTTGTAGTAAAATCACTGGTTTATACAAAGCTTTAT